TTTCTAAGGTTCTTTTACATATTAAAAAAAGTTGTTAAACATCTGAGTGGCGCACTCCTGCTACTAGTGGTTAGAACGTGTATTGCACCTTTTTCAAAACCAATGTGTTCCCGCGGCCCTCTGCGGCCCAAAAGTTAAAAACTGTTGTTCTTTTGAAGCCCTCAAGGTGGCGCTCTGGGCCGCGGCCTGTGGGTTAAGAATCTCTGCTTTAAATAAAAGATCAATATTCAGCCTTTTGATTAATATGTTTTTTTTCTTTACTTCAGCCAGTTTTCTGTTTTAAATTTAAAACTCTGCTGCTTATGGACAGCACTCTCTAGATACATATTGACAAAAGAAAATATTTTAGTGAGAACAGATATGCACAAATTGCTCTGTAAAAAGTCTTGCCAGAGCTTGCCAGACCTGTGTGAGATAACAAGCAAAGCATGTTACTTTATAAGACCACTGGCATAGCTAGAAGCTCAAATCAAGCCATTTCAGGTACACCAGCAGAATAGTCATGATATATTGAGATTCTTTTTATGTTGCCTGTGAGGGTATAATTAATAAAAGAGCATTAATCATTTTGCAGGCTGAACATGGAGGGCTCATTCCTCCAGTTTGCCCCTTGACAAGCGTCCCGCAGGCTCACTACTCATACCCCCTCACCCCCTCCACCCTCCTGTACTCACCCCGTCACATTTTGCCTCCTTTATTGAATGCCAATTAAGCAGATAAATTAGCAGGGTTCAAAGATTAATTTAAAAACCTGCTGGTTTCCCTGGGTGATGAAAAAGTTTCTGCTGCATTTTTTTCCCCCTCCCTGTTTCACAAAAGATCTTAATGGTCTTTGCTGAGAGGGTGTTTACTAGAGGAAGTGTAGTTGGAGGAATTTAGGTCACTTTGCCCCTGGTTGGGTTTCATGCCCAGATTTCTATGACAAACACCACAAAACAGCTTGAATCTGATTACTCGTGGTAAGATATTAAAACAAATGTAGATTATTGTGTTCTTATCTACGAATAGCTACATTTTTTAATTTACTGTCAAATGAGAGGGACAGCACTTGAAGACACAATTTCTTTCCCTCTCTCTCCCACTAGAGGGCAGCATGGCTCCACATCTTTGTGTTCAAAAATCCAAAGGAGGATAGTTTTTTTCTTTCYGTCTGTTCATTCCAGCCATCTCTTTGTGAGAGAGTGCTTCTGATAAACATCCTCCTCCATTCTAATCATCATGTCATTCCCTAGCTTTTAGTGCTCTGTCCGGCCTTCACTCTATCCCCTGATGTCTCTCACATGAAAGACCTCTTTGTGATGCCGAATTAAAGTAGCATGAAGATAATACTCCCAATAACACACAGATACCGCCTATCCAGCCTATCAGATGTGATTGCATGGCCTCAATAGAAGCCGTGTTTGATTTTGTTTTTCTGTTCAGAGTTGGGGGTGCAGTGTGCAGTTTTTTTTATTGCTGCAGCCTTGCTACTTTTATTTCAAGGACTAATTATTACTGCCATTATATTCTTCTGCTTTAGCCTGTGACTTTAACAAAGGAACATAGTTGGAAATTAATTTAACCACAGAACAGGATCTGAWCATAGTGGAAATGGAATAATAAATGTTGGTCCATCTAAAATGTTTCTTCTTAGTAATGAATCTATTGTACTGTAAATGATCCAGTTCAAAGTTTGACATTTTAAAATGTTGTATTTTGATCAGTTCTTTGGGTTTAAGCATCCAGCTGTTTTGTTCCTCGGTGTCATTTATGTTTCAATGAGTATCTCACCTTTTCTTCTTTTTATATTTTTTTCTGAATATGTTTATTTTACAATTGATTAATACATTTCACTTCACTGTTTGTGTGTTTTTAGGAGGATATGAACCTTAATGAAGAACGCAAAGCTCCGCTGCGTGGAAAGGACTTGAGCACCAAACGCGAGATGGTGGTCCAGTACATCTCAGCAACTGCTAAATCTGTAAGTGACAGATGTAGTTTTTAGTTTTTAAGCTCAGCTTTACTACATATTTGAAATGGTTTGGTCTAAAAGCTTAATGGAAATCAATAGAGACAGTAAAAGCAGTCCTAAAGAGTATAACCAAATTGTCTGCTTCATGGCTTTCTTTGTCATTTGTTCTTGCCACCCTTTCTTACGTCACGTTTCCTAACTTTTCATGCTTGAAATTCATATCTTTAATTGCACTTAGGATTTTTCTTTCATTAATTCATTGTTTCCTCTAAAATTCTGGTTTCATTTTAGAATCATATACTGTATTTGCTTGATGTTAGGGGATGGTTGGTCCAGGCTAAAGTTTTTTTGCTCAGTGGTGGCAGTGGCAGGCTCAGTACTTTATAAGGAATACAAGCTATTTCAATCAATTGTTTTAGATTTTTTTAGGTTTTCTAAAATTTAAATTAATTCACATTATAAATGAATTAAAACCTTTAACAATATAAACAATAAAGTGAACATATTTGGTGTTTAAATGAAAAAAGTTCAATTTTTTTTGGCAGCAACACATTTTTAAAAAGCGAAACAAGGGAAACAAACAAACTAAAAGGATGTTTTAAAAACTGGTGGTACATGTTTGGTCTAATGTAAACTGTATTATAATTGGAAAATAGGACTGTAAGACAGTTTGGCTAAAAAGAGAGCATTTCAGGAACGTGTTCAGAAATTAAGCTCAGAATGGCTTAACCGCTATAAAAAATGCTGCATATGTTGTAAAAGTAGTAAATTTGTTTTTAAATGTGCAGAATACCCTGTGTGGTTTTATTCTGTTCAGAGCTGTTGCTGACTAAAAACTTATGGTCCMCAAGGAAACTAAGAGTGATTTAACWCTAGGGTAGTCTGACAGACTGATGTTACCACACAGCTATAACAGGCAAGACTAGGAAGCACACGACTTGCTCTCTTCAGTCCCCAAAACACCCACAGGGGTTTGTAGATGATATGATGCAATGTGTGTTTCTGACACCATAAGGATAACATATACCCCTTTCATTAAGGATCTGCTTTCCACAGGTCTATGAAGAACTGAACCCGCAGGTGTCATGCACAATTTACCCCATGTCTGTAATATTGTGTGATGGAAATGTGACTATGTTGAACTTAGTGACATATACAGGTCACTTTGAAGTGGCACTAGTCTGAATTGCTGCAGTGATATTAACATACAGACAAGCTGCCCTGGGAAATCTGACAAATTCTCTTAATAAATTAATAATATGCAGTCCAAACTTCTTCCCCCATAGTGTAACCCAGAAAAATTGTTTCAGCAGCAGTTATGTGTTCTAAACCCAATGAACACACACACACACACACACAAAAAAAAACAACAACTTTGGAAGCATTCTGATACTGCTGAGTTTCTGCACTTTGTTTGACCTTGTATAAGTAGTTTTAAAATGTTACCCTCCATTACAGTTTCTTTTTATACAATACGTTGTATTTGTTGTTTCAGAATAAAATACAATTACGGCAATATATTACGGCAAAACATGTTATGAAAAAATTGTAAATCCAGAAGGACTTATACGGTGATGCAGCCTTTCATCTGACAGTGCTGACTATGAGACCACGTCCTCAAGTGAAGGAAAATACCATGTTTTTCTCAAACTGACAGCTGTGTTATATTAATTCAATTAAACCCACAGCAATATGACACTGGCTTTGCAAAAATCTGAAAATGTGTGTTATATATATA